TTCTTCTGAGATTGAAAAATACGTATTAGATATATTTATTTGCTTTTGCAGGTTTTTTGCGTATCACAAAATTTTCGTGTCTGTTGAAATTGAAATAACAGCAACGTTATTTATTACTTGTTTGTTTTTATTCCCAATTTACCAGTGATACATTTTGCCACTTTGCTTATATTATTCGTGTTTATTTAAAAAAAGTATGTGAAGGTACTTATTATCAATACAACTATGTTATATGTATTGAATCAGACATGTGCTGTCAACGAAAAGAGTATGAATAGTTATTCCACAAATAAGAATGTATTTTCCTAACTCTGTTACATGGACAGATTTATTTGTTTTGTTTCAACTTTTTAATGTATAGTACTAAACTTGATTTAGTAATGTTCACACTGACCGATTGAACTATAACTTTGTTACTTGAATATTTTTGTTGTTTGATCAAGTTTACAAAATTAATATATCAGCGATTGTTTTTTGATTTAAATAAATGCTATAATGGAAATTACTTTTTCTACTTGCAATAAAATTTTGTGTATAAAGCGTTACAGTTATTACATAGATAATCTGATTAGATTTAATGAAATGATAAGAACAAATTGATATTGTATACACAAAAATTAATAAAGATTTGTATTAAAACCAATTTTTGTATAAGAAAAACATAAAAAATGTCAATAAATATAAAAGTTTCAAATTATAATTTAAAAATGACCATAGTTATATTATTTTAAGTTATTTCATTGTTCTACGTCTATTTTCTTCTCTCGAACAAATTTGTCGTAACGCGGCGTATTGATTTTCAGAGCAGGTTGATGCTGCGATATCATCAAGGAGACGAATGTAGAAAAACTCTTACTATCCACAGCACTTCTTTTTCTTATCTTTTCCCGTCTTGCTACTATCTTGTGATGCAAGATATTATGTTTTTTTTTCTTGTTGATGAAATTCGACAGAGCAAGTAAATGTTGAATCTATATTGTCATTTAAAAAATATAGTTTTTCTTCGAAAATATATATAATTTTTGTTTTTTAAAAGTTCTGTTTATGTTTTATTTTTAGAAATTGCGTTATAAATCGATAAACAATTTTTTTAATTAAAAAAATTTAGATAGTACATTATAAATTCTGATATTTTACTTCTCTTATTTAATATGTATTGATTACTTAATAATTTGGAGAAAATGTTTGTTTTTCTAAGAATATGTAAAGAATTTTGTAAAGGGGGAATTTTGTAAATAATTCTTTATATATATAAGAAAAGTTTTTAATTTATCTTTTATAGAAGATTTTAAAATTTATTTTATACAAAATAAATTTAAATTATATACTTAATGTAGATTATGATAGTATACCTTTATTAATCATATTTTTAGCAAAATTGGCTACAATTACTAAATTAATGAATTCATCATTGATATTACATTAAATAACAAAATATCGAGATATTGGTACTCTCAGAAATATAACAATATGGAAAAGATATAGAAGATATAATAAATATTATATATATATATACACAACACACACAGAAGAAATTAAAATATATTTTTGTTTTAGCATTCCCCCCGATTACGTAATTAGATTAGATAATTAAATCACATTTGCACTAAAATTTTATTAATTTTACGCAAACTTTTACAGCTTCGCATATTACAATTTTTTACCTGTACTTTTTGATTAAAAATATATACATGTACCGATAATGTCGCAACAATTTCACTGAATATCATCGTATGAATTCTCTGAACTTTGAAACACACGAACCTTTACATATGTCAATATCATATAATACGTAGAAACAAACATTTTTTTTAGATATTGTGAGTAGTTTAATAATGGCTAATAATTGTTATATTATTTAAAGCGGCGGACAAATCTTTGGATAAATAGAAATTTGAGAAATATTGAGTTGAAACAAAAGTTTATAGCGCTACGAATTTTAAAATTCAAGCTGTAACTTCGTTAGAAATAAACGAAGTTGTAGGCTTATTTATCGTCCCGTCCATTTAAAATACATAATTTAAAACAAAGAATTAAAATGTACACTATTTGTTTATTTTGCTATTTTTGTATTATTATAACAAGAGTTAATAAAATTTACATAGAGCGAATGAGTTGACTACGTTTTATCATCTCGACGCCGACTTTGCAACCCATATCTTGTGGTTTGCATGGATTTGCGGTTTTATCCTTGTTCGCGACTGTTCTTAGTAATGCCGTAAAACTGTCGTGCAGACACAGAATGTATATGGTGCTTTGTTTTAACGTTTATAGAGGTGATTTGCATTGTAGTGAAAAGAATCAAAATTAAACATTTTTCACGAATAGATTGGATTAAAAAAATTAGAAAATTTATAATATTTTTATTAATTAGCATATACATTATGCGTAAAAAAATTTAATAAAAAATGATATATTATCTTTTAAAATAAAAGTTTTTTTATTCTTTATTATAAATAGAAAATTATTAATTAAAAATAATATTCCAGTTTTTCTTTGAAGAAGAATATGATTGATATAGACATTATTATATGTAAAATTCAAGACTAGTATAATAATATGATAATATGGAACATGTTTCATATTTTTTAGCACACACCACACACATGTACATATATACAATTAATTGTTAGATTTTCCTGGCATATTTTGACATAAAATATAAAATATCTCGCAAACTGTTTATTTCTTGATAATTCGTCCTAATACTTTAATAGTAAAATGTGTACACTGCACTGGTGCAAAAATGTACATGTATGTAATTGCACATATTATAAAATGCATAATATAATTAATGAAATTTATTTCAGGAAATTTGTAATATTTATCAAACACAATTGCACGCTTATTTTTAAGTAAATATATGATCTCAATATCAGATTTTTTCTTTTTGATGTTTGATTCAGTACTTATAAAGGAAGCAGATATATAAGTCAACATGTATCGCAACGTAAATATATATGTATGCATATGCATTTAATATCTCTTGTTTAAAGAGGATACTGAGGTATAATTTTGTTAAAAAGAAAAAATGCTCCTTGAGAATGAGCATGTCTAAGAGGACATTTTCTCTTCATAACGAACCATCTCCTTTTGAAGTTTTATATCGTACTTAAGAAACGAGTTGACGAGTAGCAGTTCATGAAATGAATAACACGGGGCTTATAATTTTTTTATTAAATGCTAAACAAAAAAAGACACTTTTATTTACTTAATTACTTTAATTACCAACTGCAAATTTTTTTAAAACTTTTTTTTAAATAAATGTTTCTGAAAAGCTTATCTTTAATAAAGATTGAGTTGAGTTTCATTATTAATGCAGACATCAAATGGTTTCAACTAAGTTATAATATTTCTTGGTTAAATTAAAGAAATCTCATTTAATCGAAATGTGTAGTTTTAAAAAGAAAAGATATTTTTATTTCTTGAAATATTATGCTATCTGACAATTAAAGAGAAAAATTTATAAAAATTTTTTATTGCTAGAAGCAATATTAAAAAATAAATAATAATATTTTGCATAACAAATTCGCAATATTTATTTATATGTATATTTAAGCATGATAAGCACATGCTAAAATACCTATATGTATGCCCAGTATTATAGGCAACCATTCATTTCTGTGATGCGATGTAAATACGTTTGATTGTACTAGGCGTTGTGCAGTGACTCAACAAGAGGTTGACGAACTTTATATTTTGCTCTATTGACTACTTGCTGTAACTTTATTAACGAAGAGCTTTGCCGTGAACGCTTTATATTTCGAAATATGTTTATTTAATTAAAGATTTATTGTAAAAATATCAACGTCAAATTTAAGAGACATAATTTTATTGAAAAAATAAATAGTAGAGATATACTTATTTTTATTATGTTGTATGCGCTCTATTTTTAACACTAAATATATAATAAAAATAGAAGGAGTTAAAATTGCTGCAATAAGTGATGAGTAATTGTGTTTAGCAATCTGAAAGTAGTGGAGTTTGATTCACTTGCTCCAACACGCAATCGCCACATTATATGTACTTCTCATACATGCAAAATTATTGAATGCTGTCTTATGAAAAAGGAATTGTTTAATGTAGAATATAAATTTTATCGAAACGTAACATAAAATTAATTTTTTCATTGACATCGACACGGTTAAAACAACGTGAAACAACAATATTTTTTTTACATGTTTTAATTACTATGTAGCTTCTTCTAACGAAAATAATATGAATGTCGTGGTTCAATGGTGACATTGATCGGTTCTTCGTCACTTCTCATAATGGTGATTTTATATGTTGCACCGTTGTCGTGCCGCACCCACGCGACTGTTTTGTGTCAAACACGATGTTCACAGACTCATGATATTTTTATCTTGAATGTCTTCTTGTTCACTCTCTTATTTTCTCATTTCTTCATATTCATTATTTCTGACTCTTTTTTATTCTAGTACTTTCATATCCTCCTTGTATTTTATTCTTTCTTTTCATGACATGTTTTAAAGTTTATAATAATTTTTGAAAATTTCACTGTTAACATCAGTGTATTTTTCTGTTCGAAACATAATTTATATGAATTTTTTTTTTTACTTAAAATAACCGATACCAATACCTCAGAATATTGATCTTATCCAAATCAATATCAATATCTTTTCTCCTGCGACAATCCTACATAATCTCTTAAACGTTCTATAAAAATAAAATATTTAAAAATTTTGTCAATTTAAAATCTTTTTATTTGTTTGTGATTCATATTATGGTGCTCTATCTAATCTATTTAGTTTTTTAAATTCGGATTGATAGCCACAACGTCATTATTTATTGATTATATTTTATATTTTGAGAAAAAAATATGTGCAGTGTACAAAAAGAATCATTCTTTTACATAACACACAGTGATAATATATGTAATATGTATATTTTTATATTACGATATATATGTATATATATTCTCTTTCTCTCTCTCTCTCTCTGTCTATATATATATATTGTAATATATATAGGTAAAAATAGAGTTATATTAATCCATAAATAATTTATAATTTAAATGATGGCATAAAACTTTGGACACATTGTCCTATATTTTTAGTGATTTGACTCGTAACCTGGTCGGATAATTGATGAATTCCTGTTTCAAAGCATATTCTCATATTGGGAAACATTCCGATGAGATTAAATGCCGCATTTACAGCCTCTTCTATTAAGGGAATTAGTTTGAAAAAGTTTTCTCTAACCTGAAACAATATGTTGAAATTCTTTTAAAAGTCTTTTGAACAATTATATTATAATTTAACACGTTAAATGCTGTGCTGGTCACTTGTGAAGCACTTGAATTTTCAATGCCAAACCATTGATTGGCATTGATTGACGTTACAAAATTAAAAAAAAGGGTATATATGTATACAAATATTATTTTATTATATATATATATAATATATATATATATATAATAAAATAATATTTGTAGCATTTAATAAAAGCATAATTAATATTAATAAAGTAATTTTTAGAATAATAAATGTACTATACGTGAGAAGACAAGCAAAAATAGGTCACTTATATATTTAACAAAATATATAAAAATTAATTGAAATACTTACACTACGGAAGCATGAAATATCTAAAGGATTTCGTAAACAACTTGAAGCATCTTGAAAGTTCTTTGATATATTTGTTTGCAGATTATTTATTTTACTGGTGAATTTTTCAATATCAGCTGAATTAGCTTTTTGTACAATGCACGTATCAAAAGTCTTCATTACATGCTCGACAGCACCTTGAATTTTATTGCGTACATCAGTGCATGGCGTAGATGTTGAAACATTTGTTTGGTCCACCTGACTATTTGTTAACTATACGAAATTTCAAAAATTAGCAATATGCAATTTCGAAGTGTTACCACTTAAAATTTCTTTATAAAATATATATTTTAATAACATTCTCAATAGGCATATACATACATACATATCTATAAGCATACCATATACATACATACATACTTATATATTACATATATGTTAAAATAAATAATCTAAAATATATTAATTAAAATTTTGTTTAAATACTAATAATTGAATGGATTTTTAATACTTTTTGTAGACGAGATATATAAACTTTTCGCTGTTAACTTAATTATAAACAATATAATATACTATGAGATCATGAGAGCGAATACATAATTATTTTTTATATTTAGTAAAGACTGAGTTTACTATCACGTATTGTAACAAATTGTCGATTTAATAAAATATCTGATGTACAAAATATATTTTTGCTCTGTGATATGGATTGAAATTAAAACTGCTTATTTTTAAACATAAAATAATTAAAAAATTTAGCTAGTATATAAATTATTTAGCTAGTAATATTGAAATTAAATCTTACATCATTAATAGCTTCCTGTCCTTTTTGGATTCCTACCTTTCCCACTTCTTTTATGTTTTCAACTTGGTCTTGCACAGTACCCAATATAGAACCTATCAGTGATTTATCAAGAAGTCCTGCTTCTGCTGTTTGAAAAATCTAGAATTATATGAATAAATTCATAAGATTAATACATAAAATATGTTGGTAATTGATATACATAATTAAGTTTTTATCATAATTTAAATAATTTTAAGGAGATCCTAAAGTCGTCTGTATTACCGACTAAGTCATATAATTTTTGTACAACAATTACTTTTTTCTTGTTTTACTGATTTGAAAATCCCTTTCCAGGATTAAAGTACACATATTAATACGTGTCTGAGGTGGAGTTTATGCTGAAAACGGCAAAAAAATTTCGAAATTGAGTTCTACTTTACCATTTCTTAATTCAATATGGTGCTTCAGAGCTGTCACGCTTTTACACATCGTGACAGTATTTGATTCATATAAAAGCTATATGATCTGTATTTACGAAATAAAAGTCCACAGACTAGCATGAAGAAATAGCATGGAGTTTTTAAAATTGGACTTAGATGTCTAATTAAAACGTAATTGTTATACGAAAATTCATGCGTGGTATACGTGAATAAGACATTGATGTAGTGATGTGTCAATGACACGTAATCGTCTGTGTGTAAGTGCTATTTCCAATATGACTAATCGTCTCTTTAAGATCTCTTTAAATATTAGAAAAACCGAAGAACACTCACTTGCACATACATACAATATTATTTTATATATTTATATTAAATAATAAAATAAATATCAAATAAAATTTTTAAAGTTTTTACAATTCTTATTTAATATTAAATTTTTACAACGTAAATAACTATTTTAGATTTAAGAATCGGAAAACTTACGCAAACAGCTGCAATGATGCAATTTATGATTGTAATTTTTGTCATTGTTATTCTAACTTTTACGTACAACTTCTTCAGACTTCTGAAATAACACTCCTTTTTTTACCTAAAACTCGCATTTATATAAGATATTCACTTCCAACTTGTAGAAGATATCGTTGCGATATGCAAATTAACTTGTCAAACTGCGAGTACTTACATCAATATGCAATTACTCTAATTAGTCAAAGTAAAAAATAGTAATAATGAACGAAATGTACTTAAAAGAGAGCTTTATAATTTATTTTTATGATATATTACAACAAATTCACGTTCCATCTAATCTAATTTTTCTTATGATAATTTAAATATTTCTCATGTATAAATATGTAACTGGAATTGTTAAGTTCTTTTTACTATATAATAGGATACTTAAACATTGAGAGAAAAAACTTTTGGAATACAATTTTTCGTAAAAGGATAATATTATATTATATATATATGCTGAATAATATTTCATCAAATAAATATTGTACTATTTGCAATATTTTCATTATTTGCAATATAATTATCGTAGGTTGTAAAATTACTAAGTTGTCATCATCTAGATAGCACTATGTCGAAACTAGAGGTATAAAACGTTTGTTATTATGTTATTATGTTATTAAGATATTTTTTGGATAATAGTTGCTTTCCATTTACTCGGATTCTCAGATAATTCTCACTTATGACGTCATAACTCAGTTGAATGCGCGTTCCTTTTGCATTCTGAGAAGTGAGATTCAACTGAGTTTTTCCCTGCAAACTGCACAAGATCGAGACCGTCTGCTTTATTGAGTCTCGTAGACTCACTTTAAAAGTGAGGTTATAAACCTGTGTTGTTATTTGTTAATTTTACCAAAGTAAGCAGGTAGTGACGTCATTAATCTGAGTATTTCATACTCAGCTCACTTCGCAGACTCAGTTTCATTTGTGTGTAAATGGAAAGCAACTATTATTATGCCATTAGCCGTCTCATCTCCCGATTTGGCATGTATATTATCTGGATAGTATAATTATTTTGCTAATATTATAGTTGCTTTCCATTTACACACAAGTGAAACTGAGTCTGAAGTGAGCTGAGTATGGAATACTCAGATTAATGACGTCACTACTTGCTTACTTTGGTAAAATTAACAAATAACAACACAGGTTCATAACCTCACTTTTAAAGTTAGTCTACAAAACTTAATAAAGCACACGGCCTCGATCTTGTGCAGTTTTTGTAGGTAAAAATTTAGGTCAATCTCACTTCTCAGAATGCAAAAGGAACGCGCATTCAACTGAGTTATGACGTCACAAGTAAGAATTATCTGAGAATCGGAGTAAATGGAAAGCAACTATTATGAAGGTTGATTGGAAACGGAAATTCAGTTACATGTTAAGAAGTTAAATTATTAGATTAAAATATTGATAAAAAAAAAAAGGAATTCAAAATATTTTAAAAAATTGACTAATTTTAAGATAGCATATTGTTTAAATTGAATACAGATAGAAACTTTTGAGAAATTATTTTCTAATATCAAAATCATTAATTTCTTTTTTGGTGACATATTGCTATAAATTAAAACAATTTGTTATTGATTAAGATAAACATTAAAAGATTTATACAATTTTATACAATAATATTTATTAGGAGAAATTGTAGTATAATGTGAATATTATAGCAGTCTTTTGTGTTATTATAAAAAATCGTATCATAGTTTATGATTTGCAAAAATTTTTTACTTATTAGAGTGTGTGATGCATGCTCAGTATATTTTCTTAAAGACGCTACAAAATTCTTTCCTGAATATACATATACGAGTATACATATATATACAATATATGCTCCGTTTTAGTTTTTATAGCGATAAAGCTAAATGTGCGTAAATTGTCTTATAATATCAAAGAAATGGCAATTTTAGTTCAAAGTTTACATTTCTATTGTTTTCTATATTTAGATATACCATATACTATATATATACAAGTTAAATGTACACAAAAAGAATTTTTTCTTAAAGTTTATCCTGAAAATATGGTAGTCATTGTATGGGACAACATTGTATTTCGAAGAATTTTAAGTAAATCTCTTTCATTTATTATATAATAAAATTACAATAACACATGTATATATATGTAAAATAAATTTGATTTATTTTATTGAAAGTTGCACGGTAAAAATCTTTAAAATATTGTATTGTGTCAGAACTACCATATTTTCAGGGTAAATTTTAAGAGAAAATTCTTTCTGTGTATATATTAACATAATGATTCTTTTTATGACAAATAAATAAGAAGTACTATTCTGTTTTATTTTATATATAGTACTATAAAGTATATATTCATTCTTTTAATCTTATTCTTTCACTCTTTATTTCAATTTACTTCTCTTTTGTATTCTATTGCTATTTGTAATACTTGTTATTCAAGTTAATTATGTCTATTTATTAATCTCACTTCTTTAGTCACACACATATTGTGATTGAGTTTGTTTTTAATTATTGTAGTTTTCAAATATTATAAGATATATACTTTATATTTTCTATGATATTCTATGATTTTGAATAAATAACACAAGGATTATATTATATTAATGAATATATATTATTTTATATTATATTAATAAATATGTATTAAATAAATTTTATTTCTATAAAAAATTAAATATAATGGGAGAATGACAAACAGTTGTAGAGCAATTGCATATTGTAATATGTGAGCACGTAACACATAAACATATCCTTGAATTATTGCTAATACAACTATTGATATTCACGATTGCTACATTGTAGATGTATGCAGTTGCTTATTTTAATATAAAAAACTTTCCTTTGAAAAATAAATTATTATAATTTTTACTATAGTAACTAATTTGACAAAAAAAAGTGTACATGAATATACTATTAAGCTATTTTAATGTAAATATAAATTTTGTGATCATTTTTTTCATTTACGTATTTAGTGAAACTTATTTGTTTATCAAGATATTATTTGATCAAAATTTCACATTATATTACAGATCGAATTTACATAATATTTTTTATTTTCAAGAATGTATAAGATTTATAAATTTAATTCTGAATAAAGTTTTAAAATCTTGATTAATAATTTGACAGAATTACACGTAGAACGCCGTAACATTATAAGATAGTATAATAAATATAATACGCAATATAAAATATAATAAATCTATAAATATAAAGACGTTAAGACTAGGTTGTCACACCTTTTGATAAATGTCTGCTTACATGCCACACATCCTGTCCTTTTAGCTCTTATTGTTTAATGCTCTTTATTTTTTGTTTTTAGATAAATTATCGTATATAGTATATTTGTGAAAGTATAAAGTAGAACAATCAGCCTTAAATGGAAAATAATTTAATATATTTGTTTTTAAAGAATAATATGTATGATATATAGGGCGCTCAGTTATATAAATAAAAAATGTTCTAAAGTTTTTTTTTTCCATGCTTGTTTAAATATTTAAATTTTGATATGATTAATTACTTGACTAATAGAGTTGTAATCTTTCTCTCTTTCTCTTTAAAACAAGCGTATTGAGATCAGCATACCACCGATGAAAATGCGAGTACGTTGATTACCGTTAGAACCAGCCTCACGAGACTTATGCATGTGTACACACGATACACATATGCACGCATACGCATGTGTTTGCGCTCGTACGTACAAATTCACCCCTATAAAATATTCCCATCGGAGTGGCGCATGGGGTGTCGTGGGAACGGTCTCGCTCGATATAAAATGCCACGCACATTTTTATGGGGCGCGTATACGTTCAAGTAGCTCGGGGATTCCTTTGTAACGAATCGGCGACGAGTCTTCTCGCCTGGGAGTCGCGCATCGAGTCAATCCAATGAGAATATATTTTTCTTCCCTCCTTCGAAAAAGAATATCACGACAGACACAATTCCAGTTTACGAAGCGTGTACGTTGGTCAGATAATTATCAAATTCAAGTATAATATACAATAAATCAAAACTGTCTGATTTTTCTATTTCACAAATTGATAAATTGTTATTGTTGTAATAATGATATTAAGTAATGATACTAAAGAGATTATTTATTATATAAAGCATTGTTATCAAGAAATAATTTATTAAATTATTTTGTACATTTGGACATCACAAAAGCATTCTCTAATTAAATTTTTTTCCGGTAATTAGTCGAATTAAATAACTATAAATTTTATCATTTACGTATTATATTAGTGCATTACATATTATATTAGTATTACAGATTGAAAATTTTTACTAATGTATTATATATTAATTTATAGATAATTTGTTTTAATTAATTCTAATTTTAGATTTATTTATTCAATGCTTTTATTCAAATAATAAGTTATTGTTTTTTATTATTACAATAGATTTAATTTTTTTAAATGCTTAATGATAACATAAACAAATTAATATAGATATAACTTATATATATATAACTTACATTTATACATAAATATATGTTTACATATAAAATTGCTTTTTTTATTAGCTGCAAATATTTTTTTAAAAGAGTTCTAAATATATTAAATTTCTGATCTACCGCTCGTAATGCGATTGACTCGAATCTGTAGATTCAAATTCAATCCCACATCTGCAATTTTTTGCGAACGGAAAATGACTCCAGCTAATGATTAAGAGATCTTTGATTATCAACACCATTCGAATCCGACGTTAAACTGTAGGTCTCGCTATCACTGTAGGTTTCTATCAATAGATATACGTATGGATTCCCCAAGCTGGGGATTGAAACATCAAGCTAACAACTTAATTTCGGAAAAAATTAATTGTTATTGAAACCTCATTAAAGGTCTTATGCTTCACGTACAAGTTAAAACAAATATATATATATATATATAATACTAGAGTTAATATTAGGGTTATATATATGTAGATGTGTATATATATATACATATATTGGGTTTAATAAATATGTACAAAGTATTTATAATTGTTATTTCTTTCAGAGATAATTTGTATATATCAATAATAGTAATATACATACCCCCTAATGTAATTATTCTTTTACATATTTACTATACAATTTTTTTATCTTTTTAGGAAGAAGCTTAAACCACTGG